TTTTGTGTGAGGTATAGGTCTCATAATTGTTGCATAAATTTTTGAGCTACTCACAGCTAACAAAGAAAAAAGGAATGGAGACTCTGGCTAAATGGATTGACAAAATATATAACCACTTCTGGTATTGCTGTGAAACGTGATGAGAAAGAGGAATTACTTAAAGTATATTTATTAAATGTAGCTAAAGTAATACAAAGTATTTAATGTAGAGTAAATGGATTAGTATACTTCATCATATTCAAGATGAACATGACTGGATTACTGGTAAATGTGATCATATAGATGAGAATGAAGGAGATAAATCAAAAGAGGCACCTACAGATTCTGATGGGAATGTTATTCCATATCTCGATAGTTGTGGGCAGGAAATCGAGGCACTAAAGAATTTGGTGTTGGACAAGAAATGGATAGAATCTCTAAAATATTATGTACGATTTAGGTAAGCATTTTTTCTGATGGGTTATGTTATTTATTAAAAAATTTTTTTTCATGAACTTACAACAGGCATAATGGAGTTTTAGAAGCATTTCATAACTTGATCTTATCCTACTGTGACAAAAGAACATCATTTAAGTAAGTTTTTCTAGTTTTTAGCTTGTATTGTATCATTGTTTCTTAAAAGGGATGAAGGATATCGATTACGTATCTTTCTGGCTGCAATAGATCACAATAGCCATTTGGGGAGGAAACAGGCAGTTAATGAATTTGGTGAACCAAGAAGTCACAGGACTTATCGAAAAAAAACAAAGCGGTGGGATGTCATTCCTGTGCTTGAAAAGAAGTCCTACAGTTATATAGAGCCATTAATTTGTCAGCTATTCTGTTATCGATATAATTCTGAAGTTCCTATAAGATCAAAAGTTTTGCCCAAACCTCCAAGTCATCCAGAAATGATTAACCAAACTACAGCTCATATACCCCCACCACCAACATCAAATATAACTGAAAGAAAAATAAGTAAATTTTCTCTTTCTCAATAAATAATTTAAAATAATATAATAACTCTTCTCTCTGCACTTATTGATAGTTTTATTGTGAACGAAAACCCATGTAGTGCCCTGTCTGTGAAAGATACCAGTTACGTATTGCACGTACAACACAAGAAGGACACACTTTCCTGTTTCCCTTGCCTAACTTCTTATATTTCCAAAGAATATATTGACGATAAGCTGCCTTTCGATAGCTTTCTGAAGAATAACAGATCATGTCAGCTCTAATGTCACATCGTTGGTATATAGCAACAGTCAATACTTGCTGATCAAGACATATATGTGACCATAATTGACAAAAGGGACCTTATGGCGGGTAGTGAAATTTGTCTTTCTAGCCTAAGAAATCCAAGTTCCTGAGCCCCATTTATCATAAAAATACTCCACAGGATGCAAAAAGTTATTATGAAACTTTTAGAAACAATGATTGTCTAACAAAGCACTCACAGGTTGATATTTTCCATTATAATGACCAATTTTAAAATCCGCCATAAGGGCCCTTTTGTCAATTATGGTCACATATTCACAAAGTGTCTGTAATTTGTTATACATGACTGTCTCCCACAACAAACATTCTCTTCTTCTGTATCCATAAAGGTACAGTTTTTGCATTTACACCATGGAGGCAAATACTCCTCCGGCACTAGAATTTCTGGATGCTTTGACCTCTCCAAAATACATTCAGCCATTGATACACCACCTCTACCAGTCAGTAGACTTGCAATCAGTGAATCTTTATCAGAACTTGAAAGTGTTGCAATAAATTCCTGTAACAAAGTATTATTAATACATAAATTGATTGGTAATAGGCTTCTAGTTGTTGTGCTTCATCTTGTAATGTTGGACCATTTGAGACAGTAGCAGCTGGCTGTGTACTAGTTGAAATAGTAATCTATGGAAGATTTTGTTGGCATTAGGATATTAAATTATATAGACCAACCTGATTTCTACAAGCCTTCTTTTTTCCACAGCTACAAGCAGAATTACAAGCTGATCCAGCAGCTTTGCAAGGGCAAAATCCAGCTCCTTTTTTTCTAGAACAAGTAGTAGCACAGCTACACTTGGTTGTCATATTACATGTGAGTAGGTGGACCCACGCCCTCGCAATGACGTCATTAATTAATTTGTTTAAACAATCATGATGACGCGTTTCCGTGTCCGTGCTCCTTTAAAGGCTGCTTCCTAATACTAATTCTTCTGATTTTAGTGCTAATCATGCAGGAAGTCGTTAAGAATTTTTTTCTTTTCGACATAACACATTCTATTGTATGAAATTTTAGTGCCCGCATGGCTATTATCATGAGGAAATAGCTGCAATGGAAGATTTCATGCGATGCTTTTTGGAATAAGTAACATATTTTTAGTAGATGAAAATACATGAAAGTACACATCTACTAACAAAGTAAATACAAGTAAATACTGGTTAAAAAATTAAAGTACAAGTAGATTTAGAGTAAATAGAATTGAGTAGATGTGTTATGTCTGTTTCATACAGTTTGTAGACATGATAGCCCCAAATACATAAAGGCACCTGAAAACAGCAAGATGTAGTGGTAGCCATGCTGCTGTGTGGTTATAAAATTATATTAATTAATCAGTTTTGTCATAATTTTATTTTCTTACTTGGTTTAATTTCCCACACCAGTCAATGCATCAAAATTTTTATGCAATAAAATAATTAAGATCGCTACTTTTAAGCAGGAGCGGATCTAGGGTTGGGTCAGGGTGGGCAGGCCCACCCAAAAACTTTGTGCCATAATTTCAAATCAACTTTTTCATGTGGATGACTATGTAAACTGTGAAGCATGACTATGCAAAAAAATTTTTAACCACAAAGGAGCTCATTTTAACAGCTTTAATCTTCAAAATTTTGACTCTGAATGCTGGTCTTGTTGGCCACACTAGTTACCACACCCAAATCATTAAGGTCCACCCAAGAATCCAATCCTAGATCTGCCCCTGCTTGTAAGCCACTAATATTTCCCAGAATACAGTAATTACAAAAATGTTTTATTAGATTTTTACATCATAACAAAGTTCTATAGACAAGATTATACAAAATAACAGTATTTATAATACAAACAAACTGTATGTAGTTTTCTATCTGGCAGTAGTGGAAGTGGTGAGTCATGGCTACCAAAGAATGACAGTTGAAGTTATTTGGTTTATGGGTTATCTATTATGCCATTCCAGTAGTTCAAGAAGATCCATTGGTCATCCGACTGTAAAAACGCATAGATAACGGCTGAGAACGGTCATGACGGTAACGTTGTAAAGCATTAAGTGCAAGGGGCAAAACGAAAGAAGACGGTCCATGTAATAGTGAATTCCCGTTCATGGCAAACGGAATGCAAAGTTTTTTTTCTCTTATACTGTATGTTAATACTTGCCAGATAACGTTGTACATAATGCTGAAATTAATGCTGTGCGCATTATTAAGTCAATGCTTCTGGCTGATGTTACGCATTTGAATGATGCTTCCATCAATGCTCTGCGCTTATTAGATGCTTTCCAGCTGATGTTGAACATCTTTTGTTGATGATTGTTGTAACATATACATGTTCTCATTAACAAAAATAACAGTTTGCAAATAAATGATTTATGTACATGATGTTATTTTATATTAAGTAGGTCATGAAAGATTTGAAATTTAGGATAGCATATGTGAGCAGCACTACATGTATGTCTAAAACACATGCATGTCCATACATGTCTGATCCAATCAGATATGTGCTATAGTTACTGTAAGATAAATGGGACTGCGAGGTGGTATATAGGTCATGTACACCTAACCGTAGCCAGTCAACAATATTAACTGAAAGATCACAAAATTCATAGGAGTATTTACATCTTTAATGAGATTCATTGGGTGAGTTTGTCTGTTATAAGATGCATGAGCAATCTGCACTTTCGCAGTACCCAGCACAAGGCAAAAAATTGCGGCATTGTATTAGGCTATATCCAGACAATCGCAACTGTATTGATGAAAATAAAGATTGTTCACTATAAATGTTACAGGGAAGTTCCAAGAAGCCCTTTATTGTTCAGTCAAGAAGTAAACTTGGGGGATAACAGTTTGATTTCCCAGCAACCGAGCAAAACGTGCATTTCTTCCTGGTAGATCCCATATCTTACAGTAAATTCAGCACATTATATGAACCATGCTTCCTCGGTGTGTACACTGGCTTGCATAACCTTCGCAACATAACACCCATAACATCCAAATAGGGATGTTGTTTTATCACGTCAGTCCGCTCATTCTAAATTTTCTAATAATCATTTCTGTAAATGTCCTGTGAGCCACATAAAAGTTCTGCTTATTCCAGTGACCTCAGATGGGCATACCTTGCATCGAATTAAAGGTTCTGAGATACCTCCTCATCAAATAGCAGAGAATTTGTTAGTTGATTGATCAACAGTTCATAGAACAGTGGCAAATTTCAGAGAAAGTGGCAACGTGGACAGAAAGAGATACCCTGCCAATCACGTAGACTGCTGTTTTGACTGAAGTTAATAAGTTTATAGTACTAAATGCTTTTATCAATAGGCCTAATACATATGTACATGAAATGAAGTCTTCATTGCTTTAAAAACAAGTACTGATGTTGATGTTAGTACTATCATGAGATTTTTGCAGAGCTCTAACTCCACTAGGAAGAAAATTGGCATTGTTATCAAGCAAAGAAGTGGTATTATGCTTGCAGAGTTTTTGCTTTTATTGCGTATTTTTAGACGTCACTTAGATTTATTCATTTTTATGGATGACTCTATGGCGGATGGGAAAAGTTGTTTGAGATGTTACGGATACAGTCTAAGAGGCCACCCTGACACCTGTAGAAAGATTTTAGTAAGGGATAAACAGATTTCAGCTATAGCAGCTATTTCAACAAGTGGACTATTAAATTGCTACATTACATCAAAAAGTGTCAATAATGTTACATTGTCTGGCTTTGTTCTTAGTTGCCTAATTCCAGTGTTGTGCTGCTTGACAATACATCATGTTGATAAAGTTGTATAAGTAATTAAATCAACTGCAGCCTTTGTACAATTTTTCCTCCCTATAGCCCTGACTTTAACCCAATACAAAAGGCATTTTCCAAAGTCAAATATACCATGAATGCAAAGGAAATAGTATCTGACACAGCCAGTAAACCATGCGTCCGGACACACCGGATGGCAATGTCTTGGCTATTTTATAAACAGCTATCCTTCCAAGTAGTAAAATGGCGTAGTCATCAGCATAGTTCTCAAAAAATGCTACCACATATTTAATGCCTTCCACAGACAGAACGTGACATTGAATGCAACCAGTGTTCCCATGAACCCTACAATAACAATTTTAATTACTCTACTTAGGATTATTTTTATTAGTTTTACCGAGCTGTCATTCCATTTTGAAAGAAATGCATCCTCAAGTTCTTGTAAGTACCATTTCTGATACTGTAGATGAACAAGAAGAGCTTCTTACATATCTACTTTGACAAGATCAAAAAATCATTAATTGTTGACATTTTATGTTCAATCCTTTCTTCCCCTGTATTCATACTCAGTCCCATTCCTCTCAACTGTTTTCACAAGATGTTGAAGACATCAGGTGTCCATGAATAGTCATTTGTAGTTGGTCCTTCGCCAGTTTTTGCAAATCCCAGTGCACTCCCATCAGATCATTCTTCTGAAACTGTGTGGCACTTCTTTGCACAACACACACTAGAGTGTAACGCCTCAATTTCCT